TATATATATATATATATATAGATATATACAATGTTGTTACTGATCGCTTACTCTTGTTTACATACTGCTTTTATACAGGTCATACTGCCAGAGAAACAAGGAACAATGGTTTGAGTATGTCATAGTATATTTCGTATGCGATAAAGTATATTTCTGTTATTCTATATGTGTTTAAGTATTCATTGTATATCGCAAATGTATTGAATCTAGTTCTCTTCCATTGTATACGTTTGAGTATGCCATTGTCTATTGCTTATGCGTTTGAGTATATTTCTGGCTCCCGTGTGCGTTTGAGTATGGCATAGCGTTTGTATATGGTATAGAATATTGTTTACGTGTGATGGTAAACTTCTTTTGTAGCTGGCGTGTTTGTGTTGGTCATCATATATTGTGTATGTATTATATTTTATTTATATTACCTATGTGGTTATCTCTTTGCATATCGCCTGTTTGTTTGAGTATGTCATATACTATGTATGTGCTTGAATCTGTTCTTATTTCGTGTAGTTTGATGGTTTAAGTGTGAGTGCTTGTATGAATCTGCTATTCATCGGACTAAATAAACAGGTGCTCGTTCAATCCTAATTCAGTCTGTGTGCACTAGTTTTTTGAGGGTTTCTATTGTTCACGAGAAAGCACCCGATGCTTCTGGGATGTTTCTCGGAGAGCATTGTAAGTTGAAATTTATGGCCCCAATCGTGATAGAGATGCCATGCTCACCTACTTACCTTACATTACACTTGCTTCGATTTTTTTGTTTGACCTGAACTCTGGTCTTGAATCTATCTCGATGTCCTCTCGATAGTCTATTAAACCTGTGGTGATGGATACATATTCACTTGATGTTAATTATATTTGCACTACCATTCTAGCCTGATCATACTTGTCCTAGTCTATTAAACATGTGGTCTTGTAGTTACTCTCGATGTGATCCACATCTGCACTTCCATTTCAACCTGATCATACTCACACTACCATTTCAATTCGAACACATTTATCGCAGTCTATTTAACTTGTGGTCTTGCGTATGCTCCTGATGGTAACCACACCTGCACTACTTTTCTAACCTGAACGTTCTTGGCTCGCAAACCCCACAACCAGTCGCCCCAGAACACGTCATGGCCTTCACCCACTTGCTGGAGACCTGTCTAGTGGCGACTACAGAGATTCCCGAAGGCGACAGCAAGTGAGTGGCTGACCTCGTGTTAGACGTGATTGTCCGTGATGTTATGAGCATGGGTGTGTACGCATGTGTATACAGTGGTTGTTGGTATGTTCATGTGTGTGGGTACAGATGTATATAATGGTCCGTGATGCTATGGGCATGTGTGTGTATTCGTATACATCAGGAGATTTGAAATGATGTGTGCATGTGTTGGTCCTCATATGTATATATCCCTATGCTCCTCTGTGCTAACCCACTACCCCCAATGACTTATATCGTACCGCCCGCCAGCGTACTGTCACTTCGAGAATATCTAATACTTTCCAATCGTACTGCACGTCATATGTACCAGACTAACCGATATTCCTAGATAGCAAAATCACAAATACGTGTGTATTACCACCTCATTCGATTTCTCCAGTCACCCTCAATGTACTATGTCTCCGTCTGATAACTCAATGTTAGGCTCAGCTTTGGCCGGGATACCTGGCGCGCAGGTCGCAACTACATTCGTATTCTTTTGTCATCCCCACTACATTGTGCCCATATCTAGCGTCTTCGTGTGATGACTAACTTCGCCCTGAGTGTATGAGGGGTACCAGAGGGATTTCGCTTCACTTATTGTATTATAAACATACTTACTATCACAGTGTGGTGACTAGCTTAGCCCTATCTCTGAGGCGTGCGTACCATCACCTATCTGCGCCGGTTGGAGAAACGGCCGTATCCACAGTCAAATCTGCGAACGATCGCTCAATGCCCCCCGCCGATGTGTCAGCGTTGCTTCGATTTTTGCTAATGCATCCGTCCCTTGCTGTTCGAATCGCTATCAGGTGCGTATATATATATATATATATATATATATATATATATGTGTGTGTGTGTGTGTGTGTGTGTGTTGTTCTTCTACACACGTCGTTCGTTACGTACTATTACGTACCTAACTAACTAATATAGTCTTCGTTCGTACTACGTTACGTAACCGTTACCGTTTA